GTAGCTGAAGACGCCTAACCACTGATTACTTGAAAGTACAATTAAGTCACAGACTAGGTCCTTCTTTTCACCATTGTGGTCGAACTACGGATTTGTACTGTTGCTACCGTCTCTGTTGTTGCTTGCGCAATGCGTGCCATCCTATCGGGATGTGTGACCAGTGATGAAGCTCCACAAACTAGCTGGGCAGTATTTTTCGAATGAGCACGGCTACACCGACCCCACATGATAATGTGTTCACAGAGTGAGTTTGTTCAAATGATGAAGTGTTGATCACAGATCATTTTGGAGACAGCAACGTCTATGGTCATTAACATAGTTATGGTAGCCTGTCCGCAACCTCAAATATATAAAAACCACGGGAAAACCTAGAGATTCTCAAACCATACACATAGGCTTACATGAATATTTGCCTGTTCAGTGCAGATGGAAGCCGTGTTGCTCCAGCACTATGATTTTAGATCTTCATAAATAACAAATTAGTGCCTCAGGAATGATCGATTCCATCGCCATTGAGAGGGTAAGGAGGAAACTAACTGAGAGTGTGCGGATTTGGAACAACTGGTATCTGTAAAAATCGTCGGAGACTTGCTTTCATCTTAGCTCCTTTGAAAACATTGGGACCATGGCTCAGCTATCCTAGCAGCTGTCAGCTGCAGAGCATTGGGCGAAAACTTTCAATCTTGGAGGAGCTATGGGTGCGCAACGACAGCAGCTTCCTCAAACCAGTCGCTGAAACAATGATCCCCTGATTTCAACCGTTGGGGACCTGCCGTTCATCCAAGCACATTTGGAAAACTCAAGTTAATGGATTAGCTCTTCTCACAGCTGCCAAGTACAGTGTTTTCGGGGGGAATGTCGTCATCGTCGGGGGAACTATGGGTGCACAACCATGACTGTTTTCCCAAGATGGTCTATGAACCAAAAGTGACGTGGATAAATCCTGGCGGCTGTGACACATGCTGTTGTCGTGTCGGAATATTGGAGCATATTGTAACCGTGGACCATTTGTTGCATCCGCGACGCTTTGAGTATATCCATCTGCTACGACGACCGGGGGACTCCAAGTTTCACTTTTTTGAGGTTGTTCACATGTTAGTACATTGGCTTGTAATTAGCACAGGGTCTCTTCGCAAGGCACGGCTGATGTACTGATAAGTTCTCACGGATAAGTTTGGTACGGTGATTACACCGCGAAAAATAGATACTCTTGATGTCAAGACAAAGGTTAGGTCTGTACGCACGGCACGGTGCTGGTTGCACTGAAACTTATTGGTTTGCTTAATTAAGAAAAGAAGCATTGATTCGGTTCGTTGGAACGACCAAACTCTTGTATCCGATAAAGTAGTAAGCAGATACAACCAAGCACAAGAAGTGAGCCCAACAGCACATTTCAGAATTAGAGCTGAGGGAGAAAATGACTAGAAGAGGCATTTTAACATTGATCGGATGATTTACGGGTTGCTAACGAGTAAGTATAACCGTTGTAAAAAGACATGCCGAGGCTTGCACGTCGAGCCATAAAATGGTTGATCGTCCATTCAGGCCGCATGACTCTTTAAATGGCGGGCGGTGTAATGTTTCACTGTTACCTATAAATGAGAATGTGTGGAGAAAACATTTGCGCAAAGAGCACCAATAAGTTCTTAGATGTACAGAACGTGAGCAAGCCATTCGATTGTTCCCCGACAAAGGCCAAGAGTACAAGCAGGTTCTAAACTTCTTAGCGCTCATCAATACATGGTTCACCAACATTATATATTGCGTGGGTTGATTGTTTTATAATAACGTATGCGAGAGTGGTTGTACATCAGCCAACATAACTTCATTTCGGGCAAGATTTTACGTGTCACTGAACCCCTCCCTCCAAGCGTCATTATCTGAACTTGATCCATCCTTGATAAATGTTTTATACAAATATGCACTTACCTGATCAGGTCGATATAGACTAGTCCGCGCATCGTCGAGAATGGAAGTTTGTTTATTTTGCACTAGGATCCAATTGCTTTCATTGCATTCTTTAGGTCCATACCCTGCAACGAGATAACACATCTCGCATGCTAGATTAATAATCCACTGTAACTATTGAGATCCATCAGGATTTACGCTGTATTTCATAAGCTATCTATTGATGTATTCAAATATGCTAGCTTGAGGTCAATATCCCTGAGTATCCCTCATTTACAATGGCAACGCTTTGAAAGCAACAGGAGGCAAAATAACCCTCGAGGCTTGTGTAGAAGACAGCGGCCGAGACACATGAACTTTGCACCGGACACCTCAGAAGATTATTTATCGTTGATCATTGGTGACTGCAAATTATTGCTCACATCTAATTGACGCACCACATGAGCAGTATCAAAGTTCGGCAGTTGGCGCTTGGTGAAGAACGTTGTAGGGCTGCTCGATAAAGTGCGCTAAACTTGAACCGCCCGTACTGACTACGTCAGGCTCTCCGGTTTCCATCTGACTGCCTTCATTGGTATGCATCATAATTTGTCGTTGTAGCTTGTTTGGCGAAAACGTCAGATGGCCAGTCAATGATGCGGCGTGAGGATATGGATAAAGTGACAAAGTGATTTGGTCAAACATGTCTTAGAACTCGGTTCTTCAGGGACAAACCGTTTATTCGGCAAAGCGAGCTCGGCAAAAATGGCAGCATGACAAACATGTAGGAACCTCGATATGAATAACTAATTCACTCCCATAACCAACGACGCTGCTGCGCTCATGAGATGCTTCCGTTGAAACAGATATGTCAACTACTCGCCAGCCTTGACGGTACCAAAACTGCCGGACCTGATGGGCTTCATCCAGTGATTCACAAGTCACTTTTGATTATCATCTCTCCTGTTGTAACTAACCTTTTCAACAGGTCGCTGTCCGAAGATTCGCTGCCGATTGACAAGAAATGTTCGGTGGTGAAGCCTAATCCGAAAGGTGGCGGCCCTAGCAAAGTAGACAACTACAGGCCAATTTGTCTGACACCTATTTTGGCAAAAGTTGCTGAGAAAATCGTGAAGAAGGGATTGCTGCAGTTGCTACAGTCAAAAGAGGTTCTGACGCCCGCACAGCACGGATTTGTGCAAGGCCGTTCATGCATTACAAACTTGTTTGTGACGAGGCATGAGTGGTTGAAAGCAATAAGTAAGGGAAGTCTGTCGTCGTGATATTCATCGATTTCAGTAAAGCGTTCCACAAGATCAACCATGAGGTTCTCTTTTACGAACTCAGGATGTGTGGTGTCGGTGGCTCAGTGCATCGGTGGATCCGCGACTTTCTTGTTTGACGAAGGTGGAGAGTACAGCTCGACGACCATCTAATTGACGGGTATCCCACTACAAGTGGCGTGCCACCTGTTCCTGATGCACATCAACGATCTACCTCAGCTTCTCCGGTCGTCGTGTGCCTTGATGCGGACGACATGAAGATTTGGAGAGAAATCGACGCTTCCGATGACTGTGGTCTACTTTAGCAAGGCATCAATCGCATATCCACATGGTCTGCAGAAGTTCTTCTCCCGATCAACCCAGCCAAGTCTGTATTTATGAGCCTGGGAAAGGGTGCTGACGGCCGAACCTACACCCTTGACGGCCAACCGCTATATCTCACACCCTCCGTGAAGGACCTAGGTGTACTCTCACGCTACGAGTTGAAGTCCGTGGACAACACGAACAGGCTATATCGTAACGGAGTGCGCATGCTTTGGGCGCTCAAACGTAGCTTCGGCACATGGTTTGAAGAGGTTGCCACTCGCCTCTTCTCTTCCATCCTTAGACCAATGGTAGAGTACGGTTCGCCAGCCTATTTTCCGATTAACCGCAGCGACGCACAAATGATCGAGCGGGTCCAACACTTTGCTACCAGTCTCATCCCGAGGTTAAGTGGCTTGGGGTATGAAGACCGGTGCGAGAAGCTAAGACTCTACACATTGTCCTACCGTCGGGTGCGAGTCGACCTCATTATGACCTACCGTATGCTACACCGCAGTGACTTCCCCATGCTGAGGCCAATGCTGCACTTACGAAGGCCATGCAGCACACGCGGACACAGATACAAACTTGTTGTGCTGGATGTGAAATGTGTTCCCCACCCAATGTGCTTCGAACGGAGAGTGGTAAATATTTGGGACAGTTTACCTGAACATGTGATGGAGGCAACATCTGTGCAGCAGTTAAAAACGTTGTTAGATTTATATTTTACCACTATTCGATTCAGAGAGTGATTGCACACTTACGATGACATGTCACATTTGTGGGTCCTGCAATACCGTGAGGTAGCTATTTTAAATATTACATGAGAACGATAACGATATTCACGACTGACAATTTTTATAACGTATTTTACCATATTCCGAAAGAGTTGTTCAGAATTCATTTCTACTTGCTCTACAATACAGTATTCACTATTCAGTTAAACAAACCCGCACGAGCGAACCAATCAGCGCATAGATGAACTATGCATAGTTGTCCAATCAACGGCTCGGTTCGCTTGCGGCAGGCTAACCGCTTGTTTCGCCATGTAAATCCTAACATCCTTCTGCAAGCATAATCCTATCACAAAACTGGTACGGTGTAGTCCTCGTGGATGTGGGCCTCGAGATGGGCCACGTTCGGATCTGAACAACTTAAGAAACATATGGCCGTCACGCATTCTATAGGATTCGTTCATCCGCATCGTACAACTGGTCACTACCACTTCAACCTGATTGGTTTCGTTCAGGTTTCCCGAACCTGCCTCATTATTGTTATTCGGGTGAGACTAGTTTTGGCATGTGAATCTACCACCCTAAAAGTTTCAAATCCAAGTTTCCTAACCGAACTGGTCTGACATGTAGGAGAGATAAGCAACATTCTATTCAGTGAACCTGTATTAAGTGTGCACAGCCCACGGTCCTTCTGGAAGAGGCACGGAGAACCTAAGGTACAAGCACGAATATCACAACATTCCTCGGAGAACGTCCGGAAGTCCCATGAATCAGTGGCAGGACAATGGATTGCTCAGTCATGAGACTGATTTAGCTTCACCATCCAAATTAAAAATGAACAAAGCACGGAATCCTTACCGATGAATGAATAAATACCAGCGAAGGCAAATCTTGAGCTACCAAGCCAGCGGAATCGCTCACTGCGGACATCGATCTCAGCCAGACCACCCCAGATCACAGACAGGATGCCGTAACGTCTCAGATTTGAATGTCTCAGCAATTCAAAGGCGATGCAGTCTAGTGGGTGGTAGATTTGGTGAATCTGGCGCAGCCCCAGATCATTCTTCTGGTCTTGGGATGGTGCTTCCGTAGGCTCAGGATGACACAAAATGTATGCGGAGTGAAGTAGGCGTATTTGACGAAACGACAGGCTAGAATGCAAGAGAAAATGAATACAGCTAGTGAGTTTGAAAAGCCCCTCTGAAAAAAACGGAAGACTGGAGTCGCTTGCATCCTTGTACCGTGTCGTCTGTACCGCTGATGTTAACCTGCAATTAAATACAATTTTGTTTAGGTGCAAATACTCAGTCAGGCAAACAATGTAAAAACGCATGTGAGCCGCACATCTGAAGCTAGTTACTTCTAGACGACAATTGCTTTTGAACCCAAAGCGGCGGTTTGATGTGGCGTATAGCGATAGCCTGGATGAAGCGAAGAAGACGGCAGCTGCTACAACGCAGTAAATTCCAATGATCAGAAATCACCAAGTGCCTGCTGATCGGAGAAATCGGCGATCTAGGTAAAAAATCCAAGCTGAAATGGGTAAGCTTACTGCGCGGTTTCGTGCTGGATCCACCTTGACCAGTGGTTTTTACCCAGGAATTCAGCATCCGATCATATCTGTTTACGTAAGTAGCTCAGTTATTAAATAGAAATGCCTTAAAGGCCGGGCTGTTACAAATAAAGGTAGCGCTATCTCATAGGTCTGATCAATGATAACTTGGGCAGCGTAGAACTGACTCTGAATGACAGAGATAAGAACTCTTAACAAGTCATGCACTGCGAAACAGACTTTAGACACTTGACTGGGAACACTTTTTACATCTAACACGATCACTACTACGGATACAATGAGGCATAAGGTTGACCTGGAACCAAAAGCAATCCGAGTATGGATGTGAATTAAGTAACCGCTCACGCATAATGGTGATAACCTAGACGAAGTCCACATGGAAACGGGCTAACTACAATATGATAGTGTTATGATAGCATGCTGTGCAGGAAAAATACGTCAAATCTGTGTCGTGTACACGATCAGGAGTGAGCTCTTGATAAATCTGCATAAAAGGAATGAAAGGGATCATTTAAAACCTCTGTAGTCGTGGTGCTGATCGGCTTTACTGTTCACTGGCCATCTTCCATCACAAGCAGTACAGCCAGTGTGGAAGAATACAACCAGTCACAAAGTTATAAAATAAAACGCGGGGTTCTTAAACCATTCTGACTCACAGGGCATAGTATGATAATTTTCACACCTTAAGGAATGTTTCGACGAGGTGCAATGACCATGATAGACTATGATATAAATTACACGAAAGTACATAACAGTGGATAAACTGGAATTGATATAGTCACATGACCATAGGCGATACGTATTTGTCAATATCAGAAGTGTATCAGTGCGGAGGAGAGAGTCCGTTACATCGCGACATTTAATCGCGTTGGAAATAAGCGCTTGGGACGACGACCAAAGATGAAGCTCATCCAACCCGGTTTGGAGAGCAGTTGCTGACTCGGCAGTGGGAGCAATGCTGTCTAGAACTACGTTGTCACGTACTTACATTACATAAGTTTGGGAGGAATTGGAGGCGTTCCGATGTATAGAGAGAGTATAATGGGAGGGAATCGCTCCTTATAAAACACCCCAGTCATCAGGAAGAGTATTCTTACCGTTCAGTTTGGTGCAATTTGCGAAGTAGTTGTCCATCAGGCTGCACACCTGTAGATGTCAGAGCAACGATATCACCATTAAAGATTTGCGCATGTCCTTCTCAAGCACTGTGAGTACTAGACCTTACAATATGTTCAGACGAGCACGTTGATCCGCTGCCATCATAAGTGGCCTAGCGACATAAACCGCTGCCTAATGAAGTAACTCACCGTGGCTGAGAGATCAAGGGTTAGATGTCTAGTGGAACTGAGGAATACGTCTTACTGACGAGTTTTAATGGGATGAACAGGTCGTCTGATACTTCCGCGGATGTTTGGTAGACTATTTGACTTGAAAGATATTGTAGCGAACCCCATTTAGAACATGGTTTTGTCCTCCCCCATCAGTCCTAAAAAGTATTATGCTAATTGTCTAGATTGTAAGTAGGTAAGTAAGAATGTAAGTGCGTTGGTTCATCTTTTCGGGATAATATCATCGTAGTACTAGGAGAGGAAATCCACAAATCTACCAACCGCCTTCGCCACCATGGAACGATTAGGTTTTCACTGCATCTCGATAGTTGATCAGGGAGACTGCGGCTCCTGTATGGATTAACCTCTGTGACTCCATTCACCTCTATCATCGCTTCATTCGCGCCTTGTTCAAAGCCCCAAGTATGCACTTTCCAACACGAAACAAGATTGTTTGTAAGCTTTATTTGGTACAAAGAGTGTACTGCGTCTTGATAGGCAGTGTTGCTCCCAGTGTCCCAGTTTCGCACAAAAGAGGCATCGGCCACTTTGCGGCGCCTTCTGCCGGATAATTCGAAGTGCTCCGATGTCTTGCGTAACCTGCTCCAACTTACTTTTAACCTGTCCAGTCACTTGCTATCTGTTAGGTCTTCGATTCGCAATGCTGCCACTGCCTGCTGTACCAACTACCTTGCTACTCGAGCAAGCTCCACCATGCCCGTTCTATGAGTGGCGTTCACAATCCGCCATTGTTGGAAGTAGACCGTCCAGAAACTGCTTCACAAACAGTTGCTGCCTTGGCACCTCGTTTAAATCTGGCAGCGCCCAATCCAAAAAGTTGCCGAGATGAACTACAAACATGACCCGAGCTGCTCTGAGTCTAAGCTAGTAGCTCACCGGCCGGACCGTCAAATCCTACGATTAGCGCTTCCAGCGCAACGGTCCACAAACTTGACCGTTCCCCCCTTGCCGCCTCCAAAATCGCCTCCCGTCCCCTGAGTAGACTCCGAACCGAAACCAGATCTGCCCGATCCTGGCTCCACTCCGATTGTTTCCGCTGCATCCTCGAAGCCCCCATAAACGTCCCTACATCGCCATTCTAAGGTGCGTCCTCACCTTTCCCATCTGGGTGATCAAGATGCAAAATGCTGGGAAGGTGGGGCAGTACGAATTCATGGCGTTCCGGAGAACGGACGTATGAATGTTATAACATTTCAGACATAAAAAGAGCCTGATTCATTTGCGCACATCATTCGTGGTGCCACTTGATTCCACGCTGCGTCTTGTGCTGTCAACTGAGCTTGCCGTGACGATTATGTATAGGTTCAACGCTACGGCGCCATCCATTTTCAGGACTAGTTGAATCGTGCACTACGAGCCCGTCGTCCGCGGTGATCCATTATTCCCTGAGTTCATCGCGACTGCTTTTTAAACATACTACTCATTAGTAGCGCACCTCAACAAGCTCAGATCCTGATGGATCCTATAGGCGCGTGCACCTAATGAGACTTAACAATGAAAAACGACCGCCCATGGCGTACACTAACACGTGTCGGACTAGCTGCTTTTTAAGCTACTGCGAATAAACTTGTATTCAATGTTTCTTCTATTTCATTCGATTATTCTTCATGTATTATCCAGCAATGAGTCGATCCCACACGTTTAGCGCATGTATGTAGATCGGTTTTCGAAACAAATATGCCATTCAAAAACAACATGTCATGTTCGATGAGTTGACATGCAACTATTTGTTCTTCTCTTTGAAATGAACGGATACCGTGTCTCCATGAGGCACGGAAAATTCAGCAACGCTTTAACGTATCTTCCATCACCAGGCTCGTGTGCTTTTAATAAATGATACCAGTGAATACAGATGCCTGCGGTACTTAATGATGAATCACCATAGTTTGAAGACAATCTACTAAAATGACTCCAAATGGATAAGTGCATAGCTGCTGTTTCACTTACAGCGTCCACCAGAGCCTACAAAAGGCCTCAGCATATGTATCTTATCATTAGTTCCGTGCACATCCCCACTTTTCAGGACGAATTCCAGTGTCAGATATTATTCGGCACCCATTTGGCCAGAAAAACAGGACTGGTGAAACTTATGGTTGATAGTACTACACAAGTGCGGATTTTTCACATCGCTGCACCGATATCGTTGACTGACGACTGTGTAGAATTTAGCGAAAGCCTATAATTGCTACATCAGTTCTAACCTCACCCACATATGACCCACAGCTATTCTTATAAGGCCTTACACCAACCGTACGTCAACATTGCGTCCTATCTGTGATATAAAGGCTGAAACAGCGCATGCACCAGCGTTGAGTGGCGGATTGAAGAATTGCATCGACCTGGTAAACAACATAATTAAACCAACCGGTGACTTCACCGCATAAGGTGATACGGCCATCCAGATACAGCTGTTGAAGAGTTCACTCGTACAGATACAACCGTTTATTCAGCAAAGACAACTCGGCAAATAGTACAGCACGTTTGGCAAACCAAACTCCTCGATATAAGTTACGTGTCCACGTCCGCAACTGGTGACCATTCTGGCATAATGAGGTTCTTCTTTTGACTCAGTTAAACAACCGATGATTAACTGACATGAATATTGTCCAACTCATGTCCAGCAATCAAATCAGTTACACCCGTCTCCCATTTGCAATCTGACTCGCTCGGTTGGCCCACCCATTCACTGGTATGACAATCCGACCACAACATCGATCACTTATACTGATGCTTGTTAACTGTTGAAACCGGTGGTAGTTCAGCCCAGTACTGCAGTCGCACAACGCATCATGAATAATGGGGAAAATGCAGCGCACTGCGTCTACCTATTCGGTAGCGCTTGAGTTGCAGTTTCAGGAAGCATTATGGTTGAGAGTTTCTACTTTAATTACTCTACTTTCGACGTCGATAAACGAGGCACTCATGATCCTTTTAGCTGAGAACTTGAAAACAGCAAGCTAGATAGAATGCCCCTGATGCATCCGATTTTCTGAGACAAAATCAAGTGCACTCGTGTGGAGAGCGACAAGGTGAAAAAAATTGCAATTTAACCTCAAAGTGGAATGAACAGCGGTTTCAGTAGACATTGCAGATATGCTCGTTCAGGCGATGCCAACGACAGATGAAGACGTACTACGCTCAGGGGTAGAAGGGTATCAAATGACCACCTATTCATTCGAAGTTAACCCACAATCCTTTGTGCCAACTACACGTCGGTCGAATAGCTTATGAGGGGGACGTTAGCACAGTGGGGTTGCGTTCGCAGTGGTAAATCATAGCTTCTAGGTTAAGCATTTTTTGAGCTCATTAACGACTGTAATAGTAGTGGTACAGTTTCGAACACACATTATGAAATTCTGTGTAAAGGAGGATTCTACTTGTGGAAATGGGGCTGCAACCACGACCAGCTGTATAAGATGATCCCACTCACAGAAGTCTCAGAGTTAAAAAACCTTTAGATGAATTGTTTGGATTTGTCCGACGGGTACTTGGATGGATTAGGATTCCCTTGAGGATATCTTCTTCTAATAATCCACAATACCAGAGATTATAAAAGCGGGTAGGTCCTCGTTTCTAAAATGTCTTTCATTTATAACCTCTTGGGTTTAGTCGACCCTATAGTCATGCATCCGAAAATCCTGCTACAAAGACTGTGTCGGGACAACCTACGTTTGGACTAGCCAGTCGATATTAACTGCGAGAGAACATGTAGAATATGCCAAGTGGAAATAAAAGCGCTGGATGTCCTGAAGATTTCAAAGTTTCGAAAAATAGCTGTAGCTATTTCGGCATTGGGGTAAGAACGGTTACATACTTGAGTTACCATTTATAAAACTGACAACTGAGGTAACCATCAACACTAAGGGCAAACTCTCGGCTTTACCTGACTGTGGCTGAGATGAGACGCACTCATTAAGTGCAAGTAAGCACAAGAGTTGACGCGACCGAGGCGACTGCGCAGGATCTGTGCTGCAGAACTGCAAACGGCAAAGATCTGCCGGATTAAGAAATGATCGAAACACGATAATTTGGCACACACACAAATCATATAGCTAGGCAGTAAAGTGCATCCAGTCAGCTGGTGCTTCTAAGAACGGTCGATCACTTAAAATAAGCCGGTTCGAGCGTCTGTTGTATCATTTCTTGTCACGCATGGAGTCATCAATACACATTAAAAGCATCACACTTTCCGAGAGTTGGTTGATTCGCACCAGTGAGAAAAAAGTTCGATTGTCACCATCTACCATGTGGGGCTGGTTTACACTCACTCACCCGGAATGGTAGCACACCGCTGCTGCGGTGGCATTTCCGCCACCAGCGGGTATGATACCGATCGGTATGAATAATGGGTTGCTGAGGTCAGTATCACATTGTTGGCGAGAAGCTAGGCCATTGACAATTTCATTAACGAGACCGTCACCGGAGACGATCACAATGGCCCGATATGTGTCAAGTTTCGACTTGGGGCAGGTGCGAATCCACTCTTCTGCTTGCCCGGCATAAACTGAGGGACGTAGAAAAAATTGAACACAATGTTGGTAGCTGTTTGGAAAGATACGTGAACACTATGCGAAAACACAGGAAACAATGTTCAGTACACAGTGGGAGCTTCTTAGCGCTTCGCCTTCCCAAGGTGGTAAGCATCGATCGGTTTCGTCTTGTTTTCACTACTCAGATAGAGCGCCGCAGACAAGATTAGAACTGGGGTTCGCGAACGCATGACGTAACATCACCTGGAGACGGTTTTTTCAGAATGTGCCTGCAACTGTGCCGTGCATTGTCATTCCACATATGCGCATACAGAGTAAACATGGGTGGCTTGCATTATGCCATTCGGAGATCCACGCACATTCCTCGTGCCAAATGATACACCAGAAGCATGACCCATATGTTGAGAGTGAAATCCGCGGTTGTTTCCGTGAAGACTCACATTTCCTCAACACAAATACAACTGTGGACAAGAGGATACGGTTGACCGATGACGGCGGGGTCACAGGCGCAATGGGAAAAATGATAAGAGGTAGACGCGATTTATACCCGGTTGACTCACTGATGAAAAATTCGGGGTAGAAAATGTAAACGCCATGCCAAAGCGAGATCGAGCGGTATCCCACATCAAGTAAAAGAACGGCTATTTGACTACTGAACGGTCATGGTTGCTTGTTCTATGTTGGGAACTAACACTAGAAGTTCTGGCAACTGATAACATAGCGTCTGCACCTTTTCTCAGTCAGTTGTATCCAAACCGCTTTCAAATTCTTCAATAGGCTGCCCGAACTGTAGGATCGCCAAGTAGCTCAAGAACATGATATCATCGGCATCACGGGGACATGGTTACACACTGAAATGATGGACGCTGAAATTTCGCTACCTGGCTAACCACTCATTCGGAACGACAGATTGAAAAAAGGAGGAGGCGTAATTCTGTATTACCGAAACGACTTATAGTGCGAGATCATGGAGGATTCAGATTCGCTGATTCTTGATTCGGTTTGGTGCTGCTTGTAGTTAAGTGGCAGAGACACTTGCCTTATAACAGTGTACCGTCCCCAAACTCTACATTTGAAACGTACTACCAAATTTCGATGATCTACGGCGAACTATAAAAGAAAGATACAATCACAGCTTGACTATGGGTAATATCAAGGTGCGTTGTTTAGAAACCCCTGTCAAGAGCGGAGAACAATTTAAAGAAGATCTGCAGGAGCCTGTAACCAGTGTTCTTCTTTATAATCATGTCACTGCCCACTCGGTTCAGAACACGTAAAAGGCCGTCTGTGCTTGAGCTTGTGCTTATCAAGGAAGCATACATGTTTGATGTGTTGGTTGTAGAGTGCCCATTAGGTCGCTCTGATCATGAAATTATTAGTTTTAACTTCATCTGCTAGGCAGAATACCGGGATGCGGGCCATGAGAAGGCGCGAAACATCACATGCTACGACCGATTAAACCAACAGGATTAAACTAACAGGACTAATGTATCAAATGGACCTAAGTGAGCGACCATATTTTATTTTCTCACTCCTTACCTCAACTATCACCGCGCCTCAGTGTCTTTCTGAATGTTTACGCGTGATATTTCTTTTTCATTTTACACTGATGTTAATTATCAAAGTATTCATCTCGGTAGACGTTCGATAGGTGACCCAGACATATTTTAATAGCATCATATTCACCGCCACCATCCTACAGGACGTGTCAAGCACTTGCTTTTATCCCGTGATAAATCATTGTTTATTGTTCATCTCGTCAGTGCTACAACCCACTCGTTTCTTGCCGAAGACCACCGGCTGTCGCATAGTTCGAGTTCGTAAACAAATGCAATTGGCTGGTAACAGAACATTCTGAAACGAAAGTTTGCGAACGGTCTGAAACAGTTACTTACGTACGGAGCAGAAGTCGAAAATTGCTAGCAGCACGCAACGCAGCATGGCCAGAGTATAGGTTATCCCCAACACCAGAAAGCTGGGATAGCTAGGTAGGCTAACGAAACCAATGCACACAAATTCTCAGAAAAGACAAAGCCACAAATCAGCAGGACATGGCAGAAACCTTTAGCGCCAATCACAAACTGCTGTATAAACATGTCAAAGGTCTACGGTAGGTGAAGCAAGGAGTTCTGCTACTCAAGGCGGCTGATGGTCCAACACAAACGGGGATACGGAAGCAGCAAACGTGCTGCGGATGCAATAGGCCCCCACCTTCCAGTGGGTGTTATCATCAGGATATCCCCCAGCTTTTATCGATCCGCCGCTGGGACTCACTCACATTTCCTTTACCACCGAGGCGGTCTTCCCGAAGCTGAAGACGCTACACAAACACAAATCCCCGGTTATGGATACTATTAGCAGACGCAATGGGAGCAGAAGCAAGTCAACTGGCAGAGCCACGGGCTTCGTTCTTCCATCGCTACATAGCCCAGAAATAAGTTCCCACCATGTGAAAGCTTGGAATAATAACACCCATACACAAAGGTGAAAGCGTAACCAAACTGTCAGAAGATTCCCTACGCAATATACTGTTCAAGGTGACGGAGTATATCACAGCATATGCGCAGGTGGGCTTTTAGGAAAACACTAAAAGTATTATTTCTGAGGAGCAGGAATTGCGTGGAAATCAAAAATGCACAAAGAAACTGCTAATCACACGGAGTACCTGGGCCAAAGCAGCTAACGCCGAAGAAGAAGTATATGGGCATAACCGAGATTTGACAAAATCACTCGATTGACTATAAAATTTCCCAAACGTGTTCGTGAAGAATATAATAAATTTGCTTGATCACGGAGCGAATCGTTCGTTAAATTCCCAAGTTCGGGGCGGCCGTCATTTCTCTATTCTTATGCTTGTCTCAACATTTTTGGTTTCAACCCACCTAATTTCGTTTACAACTAACTTAGTTCCACACTTAAGCATTACGTAACCACCAGCCGATCCAAGTGGACAGACATTTGTGTTCCATTTGAAGGAGAATGTGTGGGGGTTAGGTGTTTGAGGTTAATCCCTACATGTTTCATCGGGGTCGGTCATGTCCGGTACAGAGGTCGACTACAACTTTCCTCAGACAACTTCATTCATAGCGTTTACGAATTTCGCCTTAAGACATTCCTATGCCTCCATAGATCTCTCAAAATGCAAATTAAGACTATCAACTTGCATGCAACAGGCGCAAAGGCCTCTACGTGTTACTGTTCATTGAGTGACCAATTCCAACTCAATCAATAGCGACCCACTTTGTACACATTTTAGAGGCATCTGCGATCCATGGATGCAATTTGATAGCGTTACGGACCATCATGAGAGATCTACCGGGGAACATGACTTCACTAACAATGCAAAATGAGCAATCAATTTATAAGGGTCAAGTACCATTGCTTTAAATGTCCCGTTGGATGGTTTTGCAGAGATACCGAAAAATACAAAAAAAACTGGAGGTTATTTAGGTTTAAAAGTGGGAATTATCTTTTTTTCTCTGTAGTCATGCGATCCGTGTCTATTCCCAGCCCAAAGATGTAAGAGCAAATAAATTCAAAATATGTCCCAGGCGTGGGATGGAGACATAGTACTAGGTAAGAAAGTATAAGTGTGTAATTGAGTCATCCAAACGTCTTTTAACTATGGATAGTGATGGTGCAGAAATGACCGATTCTGGAAGAGTATTCCACGGATGACACACGCGGACGGAAAAGAAATACCTACGGCAATCCAGGCAGCTGTACTGTTCTGCCAGTTTTAGTGAGTGACCCCTCCATTTGCTATTACAGCTGAGTTGCAGTAAAGAGCGGCACACATGATGTGAATTGTACAGAATTATGTACAGCTTTATCAAGTCACGTCGCAAGCGGCGGTGATGTCCGCTGGATACCCACAATCGTTCTAGCATCTCCTCGTTTGGAAGATGGCGCATTCCAATAAGGTACTTTGATGCACGACCTTGAGGATGCTCTGATGCACTAAGGTCGTGTTTTAGCCATGGGTGCCAGGCTTTAATGGCATATTCGTCATCAACATTATACACGTTAGCTAGAGGTGGAAAACGCCTCAGCTACTGTGCCGTAATACATAAAAAATAAAAGAGAACGTGCAACAGATGCACGCCAGCTGAGCTACCAGTAATGGATGGGCATCGTTCCGGAAAGCTACCGTCCAGCTAGTAGACAAAAATTTTAAGTAAAATTATGTTATGCTAAGAAATGAGACCGTGGTTGGAGGGGGAGGCTAAGAGGGATGAGGAAACTCACAGCACGAACGCCACTAAGGTCGGCTCCTAGCCATATCAGCAAGTGAATCCAGCCAAACGTGTTCATAGTCTTTCGGACCCCAACCAGGGAGCGGAGGCGCTCCTACCGAGACCAGCTTCGAAGTAATGGCCTTCATTCCTCTCGCCCAAGTCATTCCTTGCCCACCTCTCCTCTTCTTCCATCCACATCACCGGTGCGCTAACAAAGCACGTCGTGGGAGTCGGTGGACTGGCATGAGTAACATATGGCCGAGCTACCAGAGCCTGATGCGTGAAATAAATGTACAGAGCGATTTATTTCCTTTTCCTGTGCCGTAAACATGGCGTCGAACACGCTCATTGCTCGTTTGGTATTCCCACCAGATGCGAGTCAAATTGCAAAGACACAATTGGTTGAACGTAACTAGCCTCTTTATGTCCACTGATCTAAGAGAGCAGGTTTCGCAACCGTACAGTAGGGTCGAACGTACCGCTGCATTGTACACTCTACCATTTAGGGCGAGAGTGATGTCGCGCCGCCGCCACAGGTGGCGAAGAGGGCTGGATGTAGAATACCTGGTTCCGCGGGTTTATTCAACTTCAACAGTCCGATCTCAGGTTCGACTTCTGAGCGAGAGGGCGGATCCAAAGCGACAGCCCAGGGAGGAGAACGATCACTGGCAGGTGAGAAATCTGACAACTCCGACCGATTAAATTGCCTTTCAAATTTCTCAGCCCAACGCTCCAAGCGTTTTGGCAAGTTGTGGACAAGCTGTACACTCTCGTCACGTATACTTTCACTAACGACATGTCTCCTGCTGCTCGTTTCTCGTATCAGACGGAAGAACTTACGATGGTTACCAAGGACATCGGCCATTTCCGTCTCTGAAGCATGATGAGACCACCAGTATTCGCGGTCTCCGTTCAAGCTAACATGCAGTTTTGCCCGGAGTTTTCTGCGTGTCTCATTGTGTTCACTTTCAGCCAGAGTGTGCTGGCTAGCATCGTTAAGTTCCAGAGACTGCGAAGGGACACAATATCCATGTTAGCGATTAGACTTACCATATGAGGATTTGCCTGCTTCTAGCAAGGTCTAGTGAACATGGGACCAGTGAGCTTCAATTGTATCCAGTGAGAGCTCACTCAACTCGCATGTACTTTGATAGGCATTCAGAATAGCCGGATTCGTCAGTTAGCTGGTGCCAATGCGCTCACAGCATCGTCGGGCTTCCGCCAAAACGCATCCGTAGGTCAGCACATCCAAGTGCATGGTCAGTGTCCACATATATGTTCCAAATTGAGCGACAATTACGGACGCAACCTCTCCAGTGGTAACTTATCGCAACGTGCTCGATTTGTGTCCATAGCTAGTTCGAGGCTGGTGGACGCCAAGTCACCCT